AAACGGATTCATCGGTTCCACAGCCATGCTCTTGGCATACCATAGCGCTAGCCACTGTGCTCTCGCGTGGTAAAGTGACGTCACTATCCGTTCAAACCACCTCGGTTCGGTCTATCGGAGGTCCTATGGGAATACACCTTGACAGTTTATCTGCCGTTACCAGCGCCTCGAAGGGCGTGGGCAATCCATTCGCCACTACCTCGGCCGGTCTATGGTCTTGGGCTTTACTAACGTCAATACCCCCTTTCTCCGCATTCACTTTACCGCCGCTTTCATCATTGGCACAACCAGGGAAATTTTCGCTCTCATCGCTCAACACGCTCGCTACTATTGGTACTGACTGTGCTGGCGAGGGCTGTGAGGTTTCGTATACGGAGTTCGTCTTAAGGGACGAAGGAGTATGGTCAACCCCTCCTAACCACTCCTTTCCTCGTTTCCCTTATTACATTGGAGACAGTACTTTTTACTGTATCCCAGCAATCCACACTTATAACACTTGAGCGATTTGGAGAAGTCTCTCTCCCGCTTTCGAGGAGCTTCTGGCTTCTTAGCGCGGTCCTCCGAGGTCAAGTTTTTCCCAACGAAATTGTGCTTCATCCCTTCTGATATTTTCTTGAGTAGTACTTGGTTCAATATATCAGCGGGCGGAGCTTTCTTCTCGCTATCAATTGCCTCGATGTTTGGACCAGGCGTTGTTCCCGGTTGCGTCGGTGTATAGACGACCTGGTGCGTTACCTTTTCCAGCACTTTCTCCATATGATCTAACGTATCGCTAACCTCTGGTGTATCACTGGACATTGCTATCACTTTGCCTTTGCGGCTCTTGCTTCCATCGGCGCCAGGGTGGTATGCTAACTCCGGGTATAAGTTGACTGTGGATCAGGTACCACCCGTTCTACCTTTCTTTGGTGCAAGTTATTTTATCCCGCCGTGGCTAGCGCATTCAGGACTCGTATGGAGCTCACTTCGGACCTATGCACTTGGCTGTGAATATCAGGGAGGAGGTTAGAGTGTAACAAGTCTAGTTGGCATTCAGGCGTAATCTGTGGGTTCAGTCGTTTTATCAGGCCCATCATGTTGTCGATGTATAAGTTGACGGGTTCATCTGGGCCCTGATATCGGCTTTGGACTTTCCTCATTAGACGCTGTTGTTGTTGCACGCTGGTCTCAAACCATTCCCGTGCGTCCATTTCAAATTCGGCGTAGGAGAGCCATTCTTCCTTCATCGCCTCGTACCAGGTAAGGGCGGGACCGACGAGTAGCTCTGGTACTGTTAAGAGCAGGTTGTCCTCTGTGAGTCCTGCGCCATTCCTCAAATTATCCAGCCTTGACAGGAAGGTGTCAATACTCGCGTTGCCCTCTCCTGAAAACTTCAGTTTCCATCCTCGAACAATGCCGCCAACATCCCTTGTAGTCGACCAAGGGTTTGTTGTCTGCTGAGATGACCACGTGCTCGGCGGGTGGTTATCCACTTCAGCATTAACTCCACTAAGTTGATGCTGTCCACCCTCTCCGAAAGGGAGCGTCCGGCGAGGGGTCCTGCCGGTGGCCCCCGTGGGCCTCTGTCCGGGTCCAGCTGGAGTACTTTGAGGTAACCATGTATTGTAATGGTAGGTGAAGGTATCTTGAAATGCGACGCTCCTGCGCGTGTTTTCTTGCTGCAGTATTTCACTAGAATGGTTAGCGTCATCTTGCTGTGCATTCCTGCTTTCGACATTTTCCAATACGCTCATTCTGGCGGATAAGTTATCCAGTTGGCTCTTGACATTGCTGCAATTATTATATATTTTGTCTAACACCTTTGTTAGACTTGATACATTTACTCTTAACGAGTCTAGCAGCTCGAGCTTCTTCTCATTCTTTCTGAACCGGAAAATGAGGTCTTGTATCATTACAGCGAATGCAGGTGGGAATTGAAACTGGCTACCATCATTAGCCGTTATGTTAATATTTTTATTACTATTACTATTTCCGCCGTTTTCTAATACATCTGTGACATTTATCACTGTTTCTTGTATCCGCGATATAACTTCTGCACTTTGCATCAACTGGGCTAACGGGTGCTCTCCTTCCTCTTCAGATGCTGTATGTTCCGCGCAGATGGATGTGATCAGCTCTAAACGTAGGGCTGTTCTTGCTGGGTTACTGTGTTGGTTGTCAGCTTCGACGAAATCTGCTGCAGAGTAGTCGCCTAGCAACCAATTTTGTAATGCTTATTTCCGTTTTTCTTGATCTCCAATTGCTCGAGATACTCGTTTATTTCTTCGTCTTGGAGCGCCAATACCCAGTCTTCAATTTCTTTCTGAGTGCAGTCCGTTGTAATTTATTTATTGTGTCGCGCTTTGTTTATTATTGCCGCGATTAATTTTATTAACGGATTATACACTTTCTTGAAGGGCAATGCGAGTGCGAGTGCCACATACTATGTTTCATAAACAAAAATTTAGATTCTAATAGCCGATGAAAGGCTTAACAAAGGTTATTTAGTATTGCGCTAGCGGAAAAACTCTTTACTCGCTATTGCGCGATATAATAATCCTGTCTATCAGGAGCACTAAGTGTTTGTTAGCGCGGATATGTTGGTTAGTTTCTAAATTAATATAGCGAGCATATCTCTTCGCAATCACCAATAATCACAGTTAGCAATACTCGAAAAATATATTTACGTTAAAACAAAGGCGCAATTAAAGCAAACTTTTGTGTTGAGTTTATTTTGATTTGAATGTTGCCGGTGTTAGTATTTTTCCCGGGCCAACGGGTACAATATTGTTGATCTTCGACGACTTTCAAAACTTATTGGTGTTTACGAGGTGATTCACTAAGAGTCGTTCGGTCGCACTCGCACGCGCTTACAACGAATGTTTACAAACTATGGTCGCGGCGGCCCTTCGCGAGTTAGACTAGAGTTTACTTTATTTACTATGTGGCATTCGCTCAAAGTGTGCACAACAACACTTTGATTGCCACCTAAGTCGCTGGTTGACTGAGCGCAAGGTTAATGTTTAGTAGAACCGGCGTTTTGAACAATCATAAACGCTGTAGGTTCTTTTACGCTGGGCGCCATGTAACGGGGGGATTACTCCGTTTTTATTTCTTTAATTCGCTCACCATGCAATCATACCGCAATGCGCGCGGTAATATCAAAATATTCGAATTTATTAATCGGAGAGCAGGAGGGGACGGGAGTCAGTCAACCAACTTACTACTAGCTAGAAATGATAACAGTATAATTATCGTTTGAATCACATGCGAGTTAGTTTAATTTTCTATACTCTACAAAATACTTGGCCCGCGTGTTTATGTTTACGTAGCGCGCGTGCGACAATCACTTGCATCGCCGGATCGTCGGCAGCTCTTTGTTCGCAAAGTTAGCTTACATGCACGCTACCGCTTCTTACAGAGTACGAAGGATTAGCAATTAGTTAAGCGCAGTCATATGCGAAAAGTCGCGAAATTAAGCTGGCCAGCTTACCTTAGTATCTGTCGCACAATTAGAGGGGGGATGAAATAAGTCCGTCTATCCACTTCCGGGATATCAGTCTTTTTTGCAAGAGGCGATTCGCATCCTCGGTTTCGCCCTCGATGGCGAAACTTTACACCCACACACTCATGCACTCGTGACGATAGCAACGAAAGTACAGCTTTCACTTATTGTCTTGGTAACTCAGCTGGCTCGCTTCTGCACTCTCCGAAAACTCGGGAAAACTCAAATGACTGGCAGCTGTATGCTTGGATTACTAATCCTCGACTGGTTCTTTCATATTTACGCGCGTTTCGTTCCGTCTCATGCCGAGTTTCCTTTTTCTATTTTCCCCAACCGGTAGGTGCTGCCCTCGCAGGTAGCTGCGTGATTGAGATGGTAGCGCAAACAAGACATTTACCATCATAATATATATATTGTAATAAATAAATATTTTCTAAGGTGCGGTCGTGGAATAACGAGTGACCGGTATGGAAAAGTAAACATGAACATAAGAGAGACTGGATGAAAATAAAAGAGTACACTGAGGAGAAACACACGAATATACGATAAGAGGGGAAGAGCGGCACACAATTAAGCAAAATATTAGTATCGCTTCTATAGCCAAGCCGAAAGCAAAAAAAAAGAAGATCGAAACATTATCTTTTTTCTCCTCTCTTTCTCTAGCTTATCGCCAGATCGTTTTGTTTTGTTGTGCACTTAGTGTGGTCATTCTCGCATATAACTGTGCGAGTGAAGTACGTCCGTCAAGAACTCAACACTTGACGCAGGGAACATCAACAGGATCGTCGTTGGGGCTGTTGTTGTCCGGATGCCATAATTGATCATGGGGAGTCCACATACCACTCACTATTACCACCCGTTCACGTGCGCCAGCTAGATCACACACGCAATGTCATCTGCAGTAACAATGCAGGGCATCAGATAAAGGTTAATTCATTCGAGCTCTAATCGCTTTTGTGAATAATTTGCTTTGTCTCACAAGCGCTTTGAATAGTTTTGTGTGCATTACGTCTCGAACTAGCTCGCGTTTATTTTGATTTTATTTTTTTCTTTCATTCGTCGTGATCAACAAGAGCAACTGCTTTTTTATTTTAGCGTATATCTAAAGGTCTCGGTCAAAGTTTTTGTATATTATTGTGGTAGACAAATAAAATAAACTAACCCTAATCCATTTTGCTTTGTACGCTCGCATTCAGCCACGCGAAATGTGTGCGTATCAATATTGGGCATACAAAGAGCAGATTAAGGCGATGGTTAGCCTCGCAACTATAGATGAAAGTTCTATAATAGCGCTAAATAGTTTATTTATTTAACTCACCGTTACAATGTATATAATATATAAAAGTTATATACTTATTGATAGTCAGAGCGCTTTAACCTCATCAATATAAATAATAAATAAAATTATATTCATGATCTCTTTCGTCCATTTATTACAATGTATATGAAGACTACAATTTATCCATTTTATAATAGATAGTTTCTATATAATTATATATTTAACGTTTAATCATACCGGTTGGCAATCTTGAGAATCCATGCAGGCCTTGATTTGAGAGTGAATCCATAACGTGGAACGATCACGCATTGAGCTCAATAAAAAAGCCTCAAAATCTATGAACACTTCATTTTTACGGTCATGATAACGAGATGGTTGATGAGGTATAATGGAAGCAAATTCGCGATTGCGACATCCATCTTTCACTAGAATTACACTACCAGGAAAGTGAGGTTGCTCAGGATCAGGACTTACTGTAACTTCTAACAATTTTATGTAACTCCAAGCACTCTCTGGACTAATGCGCGCACGCAGCTGTAATTTTGCACCTATTGGAACTGCTTCGTCTACTTCGGTTTTCAAAGTTGACCCATTCGTTGTACTAGTACTACTAAGACTATCACTTGATTCTGAACTATTTCCATTTGAACCAATCGTCGTTGCTTCTCGGTAAAGTGCTACTTCGTACTCCAATCTACCGGGTGTTTCTTCTACTACGCCGGATACTCGAGCTCCATGTGGGCTAGAAAAATGAAACATTAGAATATTGTTTTTAAGTATTTAGAAGAAATTCATATTCACATAAGTGATATAACTACATACTAATAAAAGCACTATATCATAATTATTATATACGAAATATACAAACATTATTTTATGTAATATTTTTGAAATTTTGTTATATTGTTTATGTAAAATATAAGAAATTAAATATTTTTTACTTGTAACTAAACTAAATTTCAGAATCAAATAGTTTTTTGAAATTATTTTTTGAAAATTCAAATCGCATTAATTGCATAAAATTTTTTAAGTTATTATTATTAAAACTGTAATTGAATATTTTTTCTCATTATCATGTAGATTAACAAAGTAGTTTTGTTATCTTTTTCTTTCATTTTCTTATTATCACACAATGCGCAATAAGTTGTCAATAGTTCTGTCAACTACATACCTATTGATCAATATAATTATTTAATTTATACCCACTAATTTGTGAATAAAAATAAATAATTAGTGCATAATTTATTTACATTTAAAATAAATAATAAAAATCAGCTGTTAAGAAAACTATGATCGCCATTTTCTAGCAAACTAATTAGAATTTTTTAATTCTGCAATCAGAGGTGTATTACGCGGAATTTATATATCAAGAATGTATAATTCTAAGTTTTTGATTTCCGATTTATTTATTATTTATGAAAATAATATTGCCTTTACAGTAGAAGGGAGTAGAGAAACGAAATTACAGCGCTTCACTGATACCACTCGCAAAATTTTTCTCGGGTCTCTAGAAATTATTCTACCAAATATTAAGGTTTAATCCGAGTTTCTAGTTTCAACAACATATTTTCAAACTATACTATCTGCTCGATCAGTACGGTACCTGTTCGATCATACTTAGTTGTATTCAATTACTGACGAACTTTTCATTTACTTTATTGCTTATCGATAAAGTAAATTAATTTTAGTAGTACAGAGCAATTGTGTTCAAAAATTTTGGGCTACCATAGGGCTGTTCGCTAAATAAGAGGTAAATATCCGGAAATTATCGGGCGTACCTGTATATCTTCGCGTCATGGTATTCGAACAACTTCTGCGAGGCATGAATATCAACAGTAAAACCTCACGAACCTATTGGTTGCTTATTGACATGACATGTTTACAAAGCTATTTTTGAATGTAGCAAATTTTGTAATTGTTAAAAATGACTGAAAAACAATATGAACGAATTAAGAGTTGGAGATGTATTCAGATGAAGCAAAAGACCTTTAAGAATGAATGTATAATTAAAACACGAATAAAATAGTGGCATAATCATTTCAAAGAAGGCCTCATTTCTGTTGATAGTAATTTTCGTTCTGTCCAATCTTCAACAACAAAAACATTGGATAATATTGAGTGGGTGCGACGTACGATAGATTAAGATCATCGTATGACTTTGCGGGTACTAGAAGAAGAGATTGGAATACCAAAAATTATAATTTAGAAAATTTGAACATCAAATTTACAATTTCATTCTGAAATTGCTCAGTGCAGAGCAAGAAAAGCTTCGTTTCGAAATTGCTCAGGATAATTTAGTAATGGTCAATAACGATGATACTATGCTTAAAAAGATTATTACTGCTGATGGATCATTGGTTAATAGTTATGATTGAAACCAAATAACAGTCTCTACAGTGAAAGCACTCTGTATGACTAAGACCAAAAGGCACGCCAAATCGTAGCAATGTTAAGTAAATGTTGATTATTTTTTTCGATTGTGAAGATATTATTCATCACGAATATGCACTAATAGGTCAGGTAATCAGTAGAAAATATTACGTTCAAATTTTGAAACGTTTGTGTAATGCTGTGAGAAGAAAACGACAGCACTTTTGATCCAGTGATGACTGACTTCTCCATCACAATAATGCGCCAGTGCATTCATGGAATATTGTGCAGTAGTTTCTGAGAAAACATAATATCGCATTGCTTTGATAACTTCCGTACAATTCTGACCTAGCCGCCTATGATTTATGGCTTTTTATAAAACTCAAAAATCAAAGAATATCGATTCGATGACACAAAACGGCGGTTGAAAATAATGCGACGAGCATCCTCAAGACCATTCGTAAGTAAGGTCCAGGACTTTTTTAAGAAGTAGAAACTTCACCAAAATAATAGTATTTTATCAAGTGAGGATTATTTGAAGAATACCAACCGCTCGATGACGAAGAATAACGCCAGTGTGGAGATATAAAGGTGCGTTCGACATTTTCCGAACAGACTGTAGATAAAGTCAATGCAATCACATACACTTCCGTGGGATCATTATAAAATACTTGAAGTAGCACGACTCAAAGTGATTGCTGCATAACGTAAGAAAAAGAAGGGAAAGCAAGTAGCAATATATATATATATATATATATATATATATATATTGCTACTTGCTTTCGATATATAGTTGATAGTAGAGGGTAATATCAGGAAAGTTAAGTGATTTCTTCAACCACTGAATAATGTCGTTCAAGACAAAATAGCAAATATGGAAAGACAGGTAGCTAGTTAAGAAGAGACTAAGATTGGAAAATAGTATAGAAGAGGAGAAAACGTGGACGGTTATAGCTTACATTTTGATTTAGCAGTGGAGCAATAGTTTGAGAATAACTACTTAAGAGAAGATTAGGTAAGAAGAGAGAGGAAACAACAGCCGCTTGAGTTTTGAGAGTGGGGATATCGTTTAAAAACAAAGAACTTGCGTACATTAAATTAAATAATTAAAAGCAAAGAACTCAAGTATAGTTATTCAACAATAGTTTTTTCCTTTTCATCTTCCTCTATGATTTGTTTGTTAAAATCATAAATACATTTGCAGTAGAAATAGTTGAAATCAAATACGTAGTATGTTCTGCAGACGTGTATTAAACTTCTGTGTGCAGCGTTGAAAATAAATACACTTGTATACTAAAAAATACCTATAAACTAATAAAAACTTAAGTTCTTACTTAGAGCTCGCAGTCACATAAGTTTTTTTACATTTGTAACGGACCAATCTGTCTCTTTTTTCGCTTTTTATTGCTCAATAGTAACCTGCCATACATCCGAAAACTGAGGAAACCCGCTATCAAAACTAAGGCACTATCTCACATACACGTTTGAATGTGTTACGGCACTTGATCAAAAACAAGACCATATAAGAAGCGAGACGTTACGAGCGTGGGAAGTTTATTGTTTACTATGCAAAATCAATAAATGCAAGCTTTTCAAATGAACAGAAGCACCATTTTAGTCAATTTCAATGTGCTAATCCCGAATTTCAAGTTATTATGATCATTTAATACGTATTTGTTAAATTAATTTAATTTGCAAGTAAATATCATTAGTAATTTTGCAATAAATGATGCAATGGTAGTCGATTCGATTAATCGATCTGTTCGCGATTCGGTAAACTCGCGATGTTAGTTCCAACGACTAATCAAACAGCATCACAGCAGCATTTGTTGCAGTGAGCAGCAATTATTCAGCGAGCAAGGTAGGTACACCTTCCTTTTATTGCGCGCTAAAATATTGTCGAAAATATTTTGTCTATCGCGAGCGTTATTTTTTGTATTCGCACCGAGCGTTAGTCTCTCTCTCTCTCTCTCTCACCGTATTATTATTAATCATTGGAAATCCTATCCGCATGCGTTAGTCTTTCGGCCCGTAAAAGACTGTAATTTAGTTGAATTAAATATTATTAATTTATTTCGCCATATTACGTCATTTCGTTTTAATCCGAGTTCATCTAGGCAATTAGTCGAATTAAGCATTAGGTCACTCATGCATAAGATAGATCGAGTGTCACAAGTCAAGTGACTTAAGGTGAGTTCAACTCGGTTGGAAAGAAGACACTGAAACGAAAGTATCAAATGTAAAGGCGAATACACGTATAACTATACGTGTTTAAAAGAGCGATGGTTAGCTCTGCATCCTGAGAGTTTGTGCGTTACTAAATTTCTATTTTACTAGCTATCCACCCCGTTACATGGCGCCCAACTGGTATTAAGACCCGTTTCGTGCGAATAGGATTGTGCGTCAAAGGTAATTGACGCACGAGAGAGAGAGAGAGAGAGAGAGAGAGAGAGAGAGAGACGATTGCGCGAGCGCTTAGGAAGGTTTGAGCGGGTGGTAGCGCGAGATCATGAGCCGTGCACCCTCTGCAAAGGAAAAAACGGAATCATCTCGACATTTTCTCCTATAAATTGTTAAATTTATTGTAAAAAGGGCCGAAAGTGGTAATAATTAGTGGGTCGAAATAATTCCAAATCGTTGTAAGTAATCAGGTGCCAGCCCGTTTGAGCCATAGTTTGGTGGATACAGGTGTGATCTACTCGTATATCAAAGATTTTTATGCGCCATCTAGCAGCATGACAAAAAGCTCTGATTATGTTATATAATATATAGATACTTTTGTATGTATACTAGTATAGGTAACTTGGATATGAATTTTCCTATCACAGATTTTCATATGCCACCAAGCGTCAGTAAAAGGAGCTGTAGAATATGAAAATCTAACATAATATATTGCATAATCTAGAGCTCCTTTTTATGCCACTAAAAGCCGTATGTAAATCTGTGGTAGAAAAATTCATATCGAAGTTACATGTATAAGTATACGTACAAAACTAGTCTTTAAAACTTGTGAAACCGATCAGTTAAGATTTTGAATTTTACAATTTTCTAGTCTTCGAATGATGTAAAAACTATCTCCGTTATCAAATTCTGGAATCGTTTTGGGTCTGCTTTTCCTTACTCGAGAATTACCGTAATATGTAATATCAAGAGAGTTGTATCACTTAAGCGCTCAACCATTAGCCCATTACTCAAAGGTGATCTTAAATACGGAAATATTTGTATGAGGGTTAACCTTTGCAGCTTAGCACTCGAAGGTCATTGTAAGTTCTTATGCACCTAGCATTTCCTGTTAGGTCTAAAGTTAAAAGTAGACTAGAATCCTGTCGAAACGCATGAGTTATAGTGTTTTGATAGTACTCTCTTAGAATA